AATAGCGCGTAGGGATACATGTTTGGTGCGCATAGTACCCGTGCTCAGCAAATATATATTAGAGAAGCGCACGGAATCAGCGGCTTCTCGCCCTCTTCCGTGATCCCCCCAGAGGTGTAAATAAGTATAGTATATATATATATTTATGCACAGAAGTGTATGTACTCCTGAACGTATTGCGCCTAAGGTACCTAATCGCGGCGTCGCAGAGTGTTCCCCCAAGTGGAGAGACCAATAGTGTATTTTACAACTGATTGTTTCCCCGCCAAGCAAAGGGGCTATCACGAGTGGGAAAAAAAAAAAAAAAAAAAAAAAAAAACTCGGGAAAGAGAACCCCATCTCAACTTCGTACAAAAAAAAACAAAAAAAAAAAGGAACACAACTGTGGTGTTGCATGCGTGTGGAGTCTCTTACAGATGTGCCTAGCAGACTCTTCAGAAAGTGCAACACAGCGCGGTAAAGCGTAAAAAGATATTTAAAGTGGAATAAACTCCGCAAGGACACATTTTTATTTCCCTCCTTTAAAGTCCGCCATTTGCCCAAAAAGAGCAACCTGCGTTGTGGACTCGTCTCAAGCGCTCCCAGTGTTGGACCAAAGATTGATACACGTGAACGAAACGCTGAACCCGTAACACATTTTCATATGCCAACACATTCATGCTGCACTTCTTTCCCTCTCCTCCTTGTAACCTTTTAACACCCTGTGTCCACTTTCTGCAGGCCCCTTTCCCAAATCGGGGGTGCCAAAATGCAGTTACAGCATCCATGGCGGCTTCCTCCATCTGTGAGGTTGCACACCAATTGGGATGAAAAGAAAAAAAAAAAAAAAAAAGATCCTCCTCTGATTTACACACAGAGGGATATACAATGGGTACTTACCCCCATCGCAGAAACGAGCAAGGCAATTCTAAATAAACATATTATCGTTTTTTCCGTTTCGTGAAAAAAATGAACAGGGGGGGATTAACAAAGGTGACTTGCAATGATTGGCAAGCGTGCTGATTGATTGTTGCAGAGGGGTGAACAACAAAATGGGGGCAAAAAAAGAAGGCAAAAAAGAAGGCGCAAAATAAAGGCGACACAAACAGGGGCTCCTACACCGGGAGAAATCCCCACCGACGAATGCACAAATAGCAATGTGGTCAAAAAAAAAAAAAAAAAAAAAAAAGAGTGCCGCACTACATAGTTAAAACAATTGAGCAAATCTGCACTTTCCCTCACAGCTGTGTCTGTGCATGCATCCCAAAAAAGGGCCTCTCACTTTTCCTTTACTTCTTTCCCTTTGAGGCATCTCCGGCTCCATTTTCCATTCGTCACAACTGAAGAAAAAAATGGTTGTCTCTTCCTGCTGGGTGTAAGTACCACCTCCTGTGATGCGACTGCTGTGCACTACTTGCTGCACATCGGGGCGTCGTCGTTGGTGCCCAGGCTAACGATAATGCTTCAGGGGGGGGGTGGAAAAGAAAAGGTACCAATGGAGAAGTTGTGAAAAGTACGTAGTGGTGCGAAGCGAGTAACGGTGACACGTACTCGGGGGTGATTAACAGACGATGCGATAAAAGTGTCACAGCGGCGTATCACAACAGCCTATCACAACAGCCTATCACAACGAAATTTTGTCACACGCGTAACGAAACGCCAGCTGCTGCACCTCTGACGCACCCACGTCGCACCGCGTCCTCGACGTGCCCATCAAGTACCTCTTGAGGAGCCTCCTAACAACCATGAGCCTTTCCTGCAACGCCACGAGCATGTTTTTGTTATGCAAATAATACTTCTGTGGTGAACCCAAGTAGAGGTTCCTACTGGCAAGGGATTCGGTCTCCTCTGCGCCAGACGTGCTCGACATTTTCTTGTCCCTCAATTGAGGATCTTCATTTAAAAGTATTCTCTTGTTCAAATCAATGTTGGCCAAATTGACCACGCTGTCATTCAGCTTTCCAATTTCTTTCCCCACGAGATAATTAAATGCAGAAATATTATTAACCATATTTTTTACGAACATGTAAGAGTTGGTTTTTACTAAGTCTGAATGGTTTACATCTAACTCTTGCAGACACTCCTGAACCCATTTCATCCTGAAGTCCGCCTCTTCTAATGTCAAATTGGATGTCTTCACAAGGGACTCACATAAAATTTTACTTACACCTAGTAGTACTGGTTGTGTTAGAGACAAGTTCTCACTGAACAGATGCTTCACGTTGAACCTATGACACAGCTGCAGCAGCCAGTGTGCATTTGTGTTCCTTTCTATATCTACCGAGAGAGCTAATGTGAATGCTTGGTTCAGTTCTCGCTCACTCAGGAGGTGGTTAATTCTTCCCTTTATAAGGATGTCCGATGTGTCGTTACGTGGCTTCGCACAGTATTCCTCTTCTTGTTTTAATTCCACGATGGAGCTGCTACTTTTATTTTGGCCTTCATCTACTACTATACTCCTCTGACTTGGATGTGGGTACTGCCTTGCCCCGCTGGGATCACCGCCGTCATTCTGCAATTCATTTCGCCGACCACTTCGCTTATCACTTCGTTTATCACTCCGCTGGCCACTTGGGTAATAGCTTCTACAATCATTCAGGTAGTGGTTCTCCCCATTCTGGTCTGCCCGCGGGTCCATCTCCTCCTCCGCTGGGGACCTGACCTCCTCTTCCTCCCCGTCCTCACGCAACATGGCATGGTCAACTTCTCCCCCATCGGCCAGTTCCATCACGCGTGACTTGCCAATCTCGTTAATGTCATCCCGGAGGTAAGAAATCTGTTTATACATGTTAAAGGAGAAAAGCTTCATCTCATTTTGCAGTTCCTCCATCTTGTTGCTAATTGAAATCAACGTGTCTTCACTTTTTCCTCCCCCGGCCTTCTCACACATCACTGCCTTTTCCACAGCATGCAGCTCTTTACTTAACCATTGTCTATTCTCATTTAGTAACGAGTTTAGTGACTCCTTCATTGAATGAAAACCCGTGTTGTAGGCTTCCTTCATGCCAGGTATTACACTTTTGGCGAACTGAATTTGAATCTCTGAAGAGATAACAGAGGGCATGATTTTCTTCACCGCGTTCTGATGCGCGCTGTTAAAGAAATCAGCCATGTCTTTGTTAAAAGAGGGAGTGTTTTTTTTTCCTGCTTGGCCTGTGGCCACATCGTAGTCTGCACCATTTTCCGTGGTGGTGCCCATTTTATGTCCCCCTCCTTCTTCATCCTTACGCCCGTGCTTCACATCCTGCAATGCCCACCTCTTCAGCTCCTCGTTATTCCCCTTTAAACATTTGGTGAAGGCGCCTTTCAAATCCTCCGCCATGGAAGATAAGGTGTCGGACAATCTGTTCGTCTCGCTGTACATGGCTTTCTTAAAAGTGCTCATTTCGCTTATCAGCTTATCCACTTTACCTTCATACGAGTTGGTCTTCTGCCCTCTGTTGTACATCCCATGGCCACTCGCACAGCTAGCACAGTTCACGCCGGCGCTGTTGCCCCCTCCACTTTTTAGCGTGTCGTATATTTTTCCCACCGTGGTACCAATGGAAAGAATTTTCCCATTCATATTTTTATTTCCGTTCTTCAGGATGTTTATTTCCTCCATCATTTTATTCATTCTTTTTTCACAATTGCTAACCAGGGTTGCCATTTCTTCATACGCTTTTTCTCCTCCTGAATTAACGCTTCCTTCTAAGTGACCTTCCTTCATTTGTCCCAGTACAAATGCTTCCTCCTTCAGGCTTGTCATTCCAGAGGTGGTAATTTCCTTGTATATAATATCCGCCATTTTGTCACTGACTTTTCTGCATACCTCCCTACACATCTGTTTGAGTAAGTCGTCTGACGTCATTCCTGTTTGTCCTTCCTCAGTACAGTTCCATGGGGTACTGTTCACCAAGGCAGCATTAACCTTCACCCCTTCTTCTCCTTCCTTATTAGAGCATTCGTTTAACCCTATTATTTCACTTTCTTCTTTTTTCTTCACCAACTTGATCTTGTTATCTAGCATGGCAATTCCTCCTTCTGTGGAATTCCAAACCAAGTGCTCCCTTCCACGCATGTCACACACCTCGCTACACTCGTCTGACTTATCTTTCCTACCCTTGTGTGATGATACCTCCACTTGTTTTTCCTTCTCCGTTTGTTCTTTCCTCTCGTTGAGAAGACCCCCCTCGTTGGTGCTGCTTATTTTGATGATGGGTGCCTTCACGCAATGAGCTTTCACGGCTTCTTCCTCCCCTGCTGTCTCTCCACATGTGGAAGGACTACTTTTAAAAAACCCTAACTTATGTAAAAAGGAGTTCAGATTGTTCTCCTTCTTCATTCCCCCTTCCTTCTCCTTCTTATTATAAAACTCGCTCTGTTCTATGTCTTCCTCGAGTGGAACCTGCTGTTCTGCCACCTCTCCCTCATTAACGCTATGTTGAGTATCCACTAGGGGAATGCTTTCCTCGTTCGACTTTTCCGGATGGTCCATCTCGCTCGGCTCACCTCCATCCTCACATTCCATGAACCTCCTCAGTGCATCCTCATGTGTGGACATGATAATATCAATATTGCTGTTATGCTCGACTGTTTTTTTTTCTTCTTGTTCGTTAATTGCTATATGCGCCTCAGCATGGAGGGAACGTGGAATGTCCACACCTACGGGGGTTATTTGTCCCTGGGGAGCACCGCTCCTTCCTCCCTCCATAAAGGAAAAAAGGTCATCAGAGTGGTGACCTTCATTTCTGCTGCTCCTACGTGACGTCGTTGGAACCAACATTTTTGTGCTTTCCACTTCTTCATCCTTTTTCTCTTCTTCCAATTTTTCTACCTGTTCTAACTTTTCATCCCTTTGCATTTCTCCAATGGGGTTCGCGTTCTGCGGGGGGGTATCATCCTCTACATAAAAATTGCTGCCTGCATTTTCAAGGCGCCCATCAGGGGAGCCCCTCAAAACGGCTGCATCTCTTCCAGCTTCACACACCTTTCGCGCCATCTCCAATTGCTCTCCTTTGTGCTGTTCCTTGGTCAGGCCATTCAGATGCTCCATTTCAGGATGACCCATGAGCTGGTTCTTCGGTGCATACGCTCCTTCTTCCGCTGTATTGGATGGGTTATATTCCTCTCCTTCGTCACCCTTACCCATAATCTCCTTTAGCATCTCTGTTACACTAACACATGCTACGTCACTGCGCGGGTTCACATCACTTGTACAGTTGATAATTCCGCCTGGAGTACCTACCACGTCTGCACTGGCCTTACGAATAGGAGTAGATGTACCTAAGGTTTTTTCCCCCTGTGCCGTTATCCCCGTGTCGACCCCTCCCCTTTTGAACGAAGTAAAAAGTGCCATTTCGTCTTTACTCATATGCTGGACGGAGTTTCCACTTCCATTTGGTAGGGTTATAACTTCCCCTTCATTTTGATACCCAACGTTGGTATTTTCTGCGAGACCCGTTATGTCCCCCCTGCCTGTTACTGCATGGGAGGCGTTCTGACTTCCGACCCCAGGGGACATTATCGCGTTTAGGAACTCCTCATAGTGAGATATATTGTTCTGTATGTTCGAGGATTCTTCGTTTTCATTTTTCATATTAGTGGGTTGGACTTTTGCACCACTTGGCTGGGCTGAGGGAGGGGAAACTCCATTGTTGGCACCTGTCCCTTGGCCTCCATTACAAGTGGGCACTTCTTCCCGCTTCGCATCCTTCTCTGGTTCACCTTGCTGCTTCGTATCCTTCTCCGCGTTGGTGTCCGCTTCCCCCTCGTGTGTGTTCCCGTCAGCAGTGGGGCCGGAAACGTCCCCCATGAGGAGCGGAATGGGAGCAGAAAAGGACTGCACGCTGACGCTCTTTTTGCAAGAATTAAAAATAATACAAAACATAAAAAGGTTAATAATATTTAAAGACGAAGAAGACACAGAAACGTTTAGGACTTTCGAAAATTTAAGGCAGTCGTTTGTGTTAATTAATCTGATGGAGCAGAGGGGCAAGATGGAGTTATTAGGTAGGTGGACAAATTTGGGGTGTATTTTAAAGTCTAATCTCTTCTTATTAAATATTTCTAGAATGAAGATAAGGCTTCTGCTTGTGTACGACACGTGTGACGTTTCCGCGCTTCCCACGCGATAGGAGATGTTAAAAAAGACAAAGAACTCCGAGGGGTCCACAAAGAGTTCCATGTTTTCAATGCTGACCTTGTCCCTCTCTACAAAAATATTTTGTACGCTGCACTCCCCAAGTATGTCAATACGCTCTGTTGTGTCTTCTCCACTGGGATCGATTTTATTATTAAAAGGGAAAACGGATATGCAGCAGGAACTGTGGAAAACGAGCAGGTAGTAGGTACTCTGGTTTGTGCCATCACCACTTTCACTTGGTTGAAAAAAACTATTCAATATGTGCACGGAGGATATATCCACGTCGAGGCCTCTTCGGTTGTGCTGATCGAGTGGGATGTACTCCTCACTGGGTTGGACTCCCACAGCATGTTGCATCTCTGTTGCATCCCCATTACGTGATCCCTCCGTCTGCAACATTGCTTTAATCTTTTTCAATTCCTTCTGGAGGGAGCTAAAACCCACAAGGGTAAATTTGATTTCCTGGTGGTTACGCTGGAGTTGCCAAATGACTGCGTAATGATTGTTCACCAACGCGAGGAGGTACTTTCCGTTGAGGCTCAGACAGTAGGTGTTTAGTATCGTCTTCTCCGTATTAGCGTGCGACGTCTTCTCCGTATCCGCATGCGACGTCTTGTCCGCTTCGCTACCCAATCGATTAGCAGCCTCCTTACCACCCACATAGCTGTATCTTCGCATAATGGGTTCGAACAGTAGAGTGACTGCACACCCGGCCACCAACTCATCCGTGACATCCATCTCGTCCTTCCGCTTTTTCGAAGCCATTACATTAATCAGCAAAGAAATGTTCCATATGTACAAACAGTTGTTATGTCCAGTTAGAAAAAAATTATCACTCTTGGGTAGCCAACTAGCCTTTAGAGGCAAACCACTCTTTAATGTGTTTTCAACACCAACGCTATTGGAAGAGGACAATGAGCTCCATGATGATGATTTCTTCTGGTATGGAGGGAAATTTAAACAAAGGATCAACTCCACCTTATACTCATTAATGCTATATATATATAAGTGTCCCTTATTGTCTAGGAGAAGCAACAGGTTCCCATTTTCCTTGTTGAAGGACACATAAACTACCTCATTGTCGTAGGGTAGCTTTATCCTCGTTGTGTTAACACCATTTTGATTAATCAAACGGAATTTTCCATTTTTCAGGGCGTAGCATACATTCCTTGAATTAACGTCCAATATTTCTCCTTCCTTTTTTATAATTTCTAATCCGTCGCTTCTTATTTTCGAAATTAAATTTTCATTAAGGGTTAGTAGGTTGGGGTTTTTTGGTTGCAGGTTTTCAATTGCACTTACTATGCTCTTCGTTTTTATTTTGATGTTATTTGTTTGGAAGGCTCTGCGGGTGTAGTTTCCCTGGGCGATTATTTGCCCGTTTATTTCCTGCGCTTTCATTTTTGTCCTTATTCTGTTGGGCTCTGCCGGGACTGCTCAACGCGTGCGAAACAGGTGTGTGAGGGGGGTGGTCTCCACGCTCTCTTTCCTCGGCGTGTGCAGATACTTCAGCCGGCCCCTACACAGCGTGCACGTAATGGCGTAATGACGTACTGGGATGTGCTACTGGGGGTTTTATTTATTAATTTTTTTTTAAACGTATCTGCCTCGATTGACGCACGGATGAGAAGCCAACCGGATAAACGCTAATTAATAATTGAAACAAACTCAAGTTGCGACCAAATGGGACAAGGTGACTTCTGTTTGGGACAAACTTGCAGCCAGACTTGTCTGCGCTATGTCTCACCGCGTCGTGCTCCCGTTCTGCTGCATACGCATCTACACATGTGAGGCATGCACAGCAGAGGCGCTCAAATGAGGGGGGGGGGGGGGGGTAGTGAACAGGCGTAAGAGGGACAACACAAATTTATCGTTCGAGTGATCTCCCACATGATCACCCCAATAACCGCCGCCTACAAACACAAGGCGTTCGCGCTATAATGTAGGAGGGACACAACGAATAGGTAAATTAAAAAAAAAAAAAGCGCAAGCTTTTACAAATCGGCTCCTTAAGACAATAGGCAAAATATATAAATAAATGAATAAATATAAAATAAAATAATTAAAAAGGGGTATACAATGTAGTCGCACAGGCATTTAAATGAGAAAGTACATTTATACATATACGCTCATAATGCATATGCATATATTCATATCTGCTCGAACGATGAATGGGCTAAAAGGGAACATTCAAAAGCAACATACACAAACATTTCTCCTTGCCTCACATTTTTTCTTCTTCTTGTGATAAAATTCGTTCTGCCGATAAACCTTTCCTTAGCAGTTTTAAAACGGGAAAAAAGAAAAAAGAAAAAAAAAGGGAAAAAAAGGAAGAAAAAAAAAAAAAAAAAAAAAATTCTATCGTAAAATTGATGTTATTGCTGTTTTTCTTTTTTTCTGTACTCCATTTTTGCGCGCAACGTAGGGCCTATTGTTTTGTGCCCCTTTTGTAAAAAGAAGGCCCGAGCTCGGCCCGCTGCATCCGGTTTTGCGGCTTACGCCCAACCTTGACTCTTCCCCCGGTCGATTAAAAACGCACAAGCCAAACCCAACCAGCCAGCACTCTGCCTCTCGCTTTATCACTTCAAAAATATATTTCCACCCGTTGTTATATATAGTTGCTTGTCCCCCCTAAAATAAAAAAAAAAAAAATGCGTCTCCGGAATTGTACATTTGAAATAACTGCTTTTTCCAATTGTGTACTCCCAATATGCGTATTATGTAAATGCAGAAGCGGACTGACACCTCACATCGCCACCACGCGATGGTCACCGCGGAGAATATACAAAGTGGCGCGTTCCACGGGTGATCCGCTCCCCGCGTCAGCTATCACAATGCGCAGGTATGTAAGCGACTGTGCGGTAATGTAAAAAGCATACTACACTCATTCCTTTTTATATTCGTTCGTGGCGGCGCATCCTTACATGAGTGATGTACTACCCACGAGAGAAAGGGGCATTGCGTGGAAAGAGGTGTAGCTGTGACCTTCCTTAAACAAGAATGGGCAAATAAAATGAATTCTCCAGGGGGGTTAAACCAGTAGAGGCGATGCTGCTGCTACGCGGTGTGTCAGCACAATTGAGACGGTTGACGTCACCATACATGCATGCATCGGTGTACAGTTGGAAATGCCCCCACACGGTTTGCTCCTAAATTGTTTTCCCCTGTTGTGTGTTGCGTTAAAATGAGCCAAGTGTGAAATGGGTGCAAGTCTACAGACCATCTTGTGTATGAGAAGCGAAAGGAACCGCAGAGAGGTGGTGTAAGAGACACAAAAAAAAAAAAAAAAAAAAAAAAGCACCTCGCCTTCCATCCCGTCCAATATGAACTGCTTACAAATGAATCTAACCAAACACACCAGTAGTGCCCCTTTTTCTATTTCTGTTTGCTTCTGCAAAGGTGTATACATACCGGGTGGGTAAATATTTAAAAATGGAACTTGTCCCACTGGAACAGGTGGGCATGAATGAATGGAGTGTAAAAGGATGGCTTCCCTGTGATGCCTAAATGGGCAGCATAAGATATTCTCCTCAAAGGGTTCTAAATTTCCATTTGGCAGTTGCTGGCCTATCATTGGGACTCCCCCTTTGGCTGCCCTTGTTTTGTCTTTCCACCCGCCGCTCTCCCCCACGCGCGTATAGTTACACAGCACACCAGCTACATTGACAAGCCCATTAGGATACGCCCAGGTTGCCGTCACGTATTGGTGTTCCACCTCAAAGGAACAGAACAGGAAAGACCCTTTTTTGCCAGCTTGGAGAGGGGGATTACTCATTTATTTATTTTCTTTTTTTTGTTGCTGCGTGATACAGCCCCCTTTTTCTTGCCGTTTGAATTGATCAGTCAATAGGCTGCTGCTGTCATGCGGCGCGGCCACTTATTATTTTTTTTTTTTTTTTTGTTACGCTTTGCTGAGACCTCCAACCTGCCGCCCTTTTCACACACGCAATGCTGTTCGTGCTTCGGAAAGGTTGCCCATAATACATTGCGCGCGTGTCAAATGGTTCATGAAACGTGAATAAATAAAAGGTATACCTTGTTCGGGGTTGACCCCACTGGGAGAAAAGGCAAAGAGGAAAATTAATTTGAGTAGCAGCCTCTCTGTCACATATACTATCATTTTTGCTTACACGTATGTTGTGTTCTTCCCTAAGTGATCTCTGCCCCCCAAATGGGCCCGAAGGTTACGGCACGATCGACTGGCTTGGCGAGGCGTAGTGCATACATAAATTATTAGGGGCGTGTATATTAAAAAAAGGGAAGGTTCGCGCCTACCTCGACTCGTTTTTTAATAGGTATAAAAAAGCATATGACCTGCCCAACAAAGGAAATAAAAAAAACGTTCGGAGCGTAGCATTTCGTAAGGGGCACAATATTCTCTCTCAATGATTTTTTAACACCCTTCCAATATAGTAGTAACAGTAGCACTTTTTTTTTTTTTTTTTTTTTTTTTTTTTTCGCATTTATAATTTTCCCCTCGTCCTATCCGTAAAAAAGAATGCTTAGTCCCTTTATTCATACATAAAGGTTTCCCTTTTTTTATTTTATGCGTGCCTAATTAAGCTTTGTGTTAATTTCTCTTCATTTTTTTTTTTTTCCCTTGTGGATCGTGCTAAGTTTCCAAGAGGAGGTGGGTTGCGCGAGGAGGGTAAAAAAAAAAAAAAACAAAAAAAGAAATATGTTTGCATCTGGAATAGCGAAGTGCCTCCCATAAGAGGAGCTTCTTATTCTCACACGTGAAGCTTCGCCCATCACTTGACCAAAAAAAGGGGGAGAGGCAACCTTTTTCCTTATTTTGAACTTGCCAAGGGGTGGTACATTTGTGTACGTGCGTACATGTGCGGTGGGCCTCGTAGTAAAGTGCCCGCGCTGTCCGGCCTGCAAGAGGTGACAAGCGGGTCAACGTGACGACCGCACTGACGATCAAAGTGACAACCGAAGTGACAACCCAAGTGAAGGTCAACGTGACGACCGAAATCCCCAACCACGATACCCCACCGACCTGCCGAAAATGCTGGTGAAATGCGAGACGAAGAGCCAGAGAGTGAAGAGCATCTCCTTCCACCCGAAAATCAACCTGATCCTTGCGGGGCTGCACAATGGAGTCATTCAGCTATGGGACTACCGCATCGGGATCCTAATTGACAAGTTTGAGGAGCATGAAGGGCCAGTGAGGGGCATAGATTTCCACGCTGTGCAGCCCCTTTTTGTCAGTGGAGCAGACGATTACCTAATAAAGGTGTGGAACATGCATTTAAAAAAATGTGTCTTCAATTTGGTAGGACACCTGGACTACATCAGGAAGGTGCAGTTCCATTTGACCTACCCATGGATTCTATCCGCTTCAGATGATCAGACCATTCGAATATGGAATTGGCAAAGCAGAGTCTGCATAGCGATCCTCACAGGACATAACCACTACGTCATGTGTGCAGAGTTTCATCCCACACAGGACCTAATCATTTCGAGCAGCCTGGATAAGACTCTGCGAGTGTGGGATATAAAACTGCTACGAGAAAAAAACGTTATATTGACCAGTGAAAATGTGATAAGCGATTTGCCCTACGGATTATCAAAGGGCGGTTACAACACAGATGGGCTAAGCCCAGGTGGAGAAAACCAAATGGGCATACATTCCTTCTTATCGCATAATCAGCACCTGCAACAGTTTCAGCAACAGTTTCAGCAACAACTTCAGCAGCAACAACAGAATAATAATAACATGTTTGGTGCGTCAGATGCCATTTGTAAATTTGTTCTCGAGGGTCATGAGAAGGGAGTTAACTGTTGTGCCTTTCATCCTAACTTACCCATTATTGCATCTGGGTCAGACGATAAGCTAGTAAAGTTGTGGAGGTATAATGAAAATAAGTGCTGGGAGCTAGATACCCTCAGGGGACATTTCAATAACGTGTCCAGCTTAATTTTTCACCAAACCAATGACGATTTATTATTAACCAATAGTGAAGACAGGACCATTCGTATATGGGATATAACCAAACGAGCATGTGTTCATACGTTTAGAAGAGAAAATGACCGCTTCTGGGTTCTGTCCTTGAAACCCAACTCCAATTTAATTGCCTCAGGGCATGACTCAGGGATGGTGATTTTCAAATTCGAAAAGGAAAAATGCCCCTATGACAAGTGTGGAAGTATCCTCATCTACGTAAAAGAGAAACGCATTCATGCTTATGATGTAAGGAGCAATAGGAACACTTGTTTGTGTCCTGTGAGGAAAAATGGAAACGCCATGGTGTCGGGGTACCACAAGTTAGTATACAACCAATTTTGCACCACACATGTGATGATTCTTTTTATGTACAAGGAGGAAGATCATTACTCCTTCGATCTGATCGTTTGCGATACAATTGGGGAGAGTGGCGGAGGCGTCATGGGAGGGGGGATATCCACAGCATCACCCGCAGCCTCCCCTTCTAAATCCTCCGCACTGAATTTCTTCAAGCCCTGGGCAAAAAGTTCCAGCGCGAATAAAGCAAATCTGTCACCACAAAAAAATATACAAGCGGGGAGAAGCCCAGAAGAGTTCAACCCGGACAGTGTAAAATACATAATCAAAAACAAGCACTGTTGTTCTGTTGCATTTTTCACAAGAAATAAATATCTCCTTGTAGAAAAGAGAAATGGAAACTACCTCCTGAGCATTCAAAGCATACCAGACGATAACACTTCCAAACGTGTGGAAGTACCTTTTAAAGTGGAAGGAGTATATCCCTTGAACAACAACAAAGTAATTATCTTGTCGGAACACAAAATATACCTATACGATATAAGTGTAAAAAAAATATTAACTGAAATGAATCACACAGATACCATAATTTCCGTGGAAATACTTAAGGAGAATTACATTGCCTTTGTCTTCAAATATAACGTTGTTCTTACCACCATCGATTTGGTTCATCTGTGTACAGTCCATGAGTATATTCGAGTCAAAAGTGGAGTCTGGGATGAGGAAAACAAAAATGTTTTTATTTATAACACATTGAGTCATTTAAAGTACATTTTAATAAATGGAGAAAAGGGACTCATCAAATGTTTGGAAGAGCCTGTCTACCTCTTCAAAATATACAACAACAGGTTATTTTATATCACAAGAAAGCAGGAAGTGATCAGTGAACCCTTAAACGACACGGAATATTTATTTAAATTATCCCTTGCAAACAATGATGAGCAAAGCGCTTATCATTATTTGGACACACGATATAAAGGCAACATGTGCCCTAATGGCTCTTATATGGAAGAGGAGAAGAAGAAACTTTATTTCAGTTATAACCTCATTGGGTATATTAAGAAAAAGGGATTCGCAAACTTAGCAGTACAAATGGTAAACAACAATCATACCCTTTTTAATCTGTCCATTCAGTTAGGACATATAAACAATGCCCTCAAGGCAGCCAAAAAAATTAATAAGAAACATATATGGAACCTTTTAAGCGTTCATGCATTACTAGTGGGTAATTACGACATTGCTGAATATGCCTTGTTAAGGATGAAGGCCTACGACAAGCTCTCCTTTTTATATCTCTTCAGTGGAAATATTAATAACCTAAAAAAAATGCAAAATGTTGCCATCATAAGGGGAGACTTAATTTCCATTTTCCTCAATTCATTATATTTGGGGGACATACAACAGAGGATAAATGTATTTGTTGAACAGAATCAGGTGAACTTGGCATGGGCCTGCTCTCAGCTCCATAACATCCCCATTAATTTGTCTGAAAAGAATTTTGATTTTGATGTAACTGAGTGCACCTACTGTCCTGAGAAGTCTTTTTATCTTTCCCCCCCCATACCGATCGTGAGAGTGGACCCCAGCTTGGGCAAGAACAACGTATCAGCGCAGCCGTCATCGGCGCAGTCGCCGGAGCAGGTAGCGGAACAAATGCGTGCGACGCAGGACGCTCCACCCAAGTGGGGAACGCCTTCCGCCTGGAATGGATCATACAACTGGCCTGTCATCAACCTCGAGAAGACCTTCCAGCCTAGAGCCGACCCGAGTGGCGCCGCACCCCAGGGGGCCAAGAAAAAAATCGCGGCCAAATCAGGTACGGATGAGACAATCCCATGTGGCGGCGCCGAGCAACTCTATCACTTTTCATCGTGTACATGTCCTTATCGTGCCCATCTCTTTGTCGCGCGCGTCTGTGTGCCGTCCCCGTCCCATCATTAGCGGCTTGCCCCATTTGAAAACTTCCTTCCTTCCCCCCCGCGTGCAGACCAACGAAGCAACGCCTCGGACGAAGACGATGTGTGGAAGAACGAGGTCAACGACGAGGACATAAATATCGACTTGGACCTGGAAGAGCACAAAGATCTCCTAAGCAAAAGCGCAGCCATGTCACCCATGAAGGGCACAAAAATTGAAAGAGTAGATAACCTCTACGAAGTCATGGCCAAAAAATACGGAAGAATAATGGACCACATAAGAACAGGAAACATAACCAGTGCACTAAATTTAATTTCAAAAAAATATGGTATCGTTGATATGAAGCCATTAAAAATAATTATTAAAAATGTGTACATTGCAACATATGCCTACCTGACCCCCATTCCGAATTTCGTTCCATTGCAATGTCCAATAAACACAAATGAGGAGACAACAAATACAAATGTATACATTAATCAACACTTTCTTTTTAATCAAATTAAAAAGGCACACAAATTAGTCACCCTGGGAAAATTTTCAACAGCTCTGAGCTTGTTCAGGAGCACCCTCTACCACATGATATTTTTAACCCCTGCTGATAAGGACACGGAAATGAATGAATACTTGCATATGTGTACCAGCTACATCTTAGCCATGAGATTGGAAGAGGAAAGAAATGCAACTGCTACGGAAGACCCAAGGAGGAGCTTAGAGTTGATGGCCTACTTTACTTGCTGCCCGATGCAGAACTCCCACTTGTACTTAGTCCTCAGGAGAGGCATGGGTCTCGCGTGGAAGGCGCAAAATTACGTCACAGCTGGATCGGTGAGTTTGCGCCCCGCACGTCGGGATTATATATCACATGCTCCGCGTCTCTTCGTTTGACAACCTGACTGGGCAACCTTTTTACACAGCCGCTCCGCCAATGCCGCACCAACTACATGACCACTCATCACACACATCACCCCCCCGCGCAGTTTGCTAAACGGCTGATAAACGGAAACTACGAGAGTATTAAAGGCTCCGAGGAAGAAATCGTCAAGGCGAAGAAAATTTTGCTTATGTGTGAACAGAAAAGCACGGAACAGCACTCCATAGACTACGACCCCAACGACTACTGTAAGGAGACCATGCAAAAGAGGAAAAAAAAAAAAAGGAAACACTGCCCCCCGTGCAAACACTTTCCTTGCATGTATTTCGCATCAGTATGAAGGAGGTGCATGGGTCAAGTATAACATTATCTCCCCCTTTTTTTTTTTTTTATCCCCACAGATAACATGAGAGTGTGTAGCGTCAGCTTAACGAGGATCAAGCCGAATGAAGAAACTGTCAGCTGTCCTTTTTGCCAATCCGTATCCAAGAGAGAATATACTTCCAAGATATGCCCGAACTGTTTGATCGCCCAGCTGGGAAAAAAGGTAATGGTGGTATAGAACGCAACTGTGATATGGCATGAAGGGGAGAGAAAGATCTGTGAGAGTGCACCCAGAGGAGATGGTGGTGTCACATGTGTGTGTAATCTTCATTTTCTGCCCCATGTTTTTGTAGGCCCTCGGATTTGATTTCCTAAACAAGAACGCATGATGAAGATCTCTGTTGGCGCCTTTGTTTTCCCTTTCCCTTAGCGCAATGTAGTGTCATCCACATGGTGATTTTATCAGTTTATACGTGAGCGGAGTCATCAACTGGCGCACTAAACTACCTGCCTTTTTCCTGTCCCACCGCAACATGGCATGACGAACGAGGTTGGAAGATTTAATTCCCCTCCGAAGCAACATCGCAGAAGCGTTACACAAAAGGAGAAAGAGAGAAAAAAGAGTACAAGCTATTATATTCCTCACATCAGCTCGAGGGATTGTACACACTTGGAATGATTAATTAAAAAATGTGTCTCCCCTCGCGCAGCTGCGCCATTCGTCATTGTAACTTTTCCCCATTGCTCACATGTGTGAACGTATGAGAGGCCACGCGCAGCTTACATTGCCTTCCATTTTTGCATCCCATATGGTGCTGTGTGGCATCCCACATGATGCTGTGTATGGGTTACCATGCGTTTCTTTTGTTTAAGCTTGGCGCGATGCGATTGCATGAGCAGTTTTGCATCCCCTCGCTGTTACCTCTACGTATAATATACTTTACTATACTTTAGTACACTGTACTTATACTATAATGTATTGTAGTGTGGTGTACCCACGCAACCAGTGTCCACATATGTATGGACAGAACGCGAACCACATCACGCACCTTCTCACATTGGCTGATTTGTCAACCACTGGAGATGATTGTCATGAATGCAACACCTACGCTCCCCTCTACCTTATTAACCGTTTTGTGATTACACATTCCGTCATGCACACCATTGCGGGGGAGGGCCATTTGGAAACAGGGCCCCCCATTAAAAGTGTGGACCGCCTCTTCTTTCAAACAGTGCGCTGCATTGGAGCGAGGTTTTTAAAAAAGGGAGCCCACTGTTGGGGGGTAGCTACAATTTTAAAAAAAAAAAAAAAAAAAAACGGTCACTGGTTGGGCAAAAAAGGAGAGGGAATTTACTTCTCCTGGAGTGAGCATCATCTGATGACGATAACGTACCAAGGGGGATGGAAAAAGCACCGCTTGTTAACCACCCACACATAGTGTCCCCTCCCCCCCAGGGGGTCTTTCCCTGGTTGCTAATTCTCTGCACGTCATGTAGAGACGTACACACGATGCTCCGCTACGCGAGGTAACCATAACAACGCGTGAATCACGCCTCAAAGCAGTCCTCCGGCACCACGTCCCTTAACTCGCCACTGTCGTACATGCTCTTAATAATATCGTGGCCGCCAATCAACTCCTTGTTGATGTAGAGCTGCGGGTAGGTTGGCCAGTTGGAATAAATCTTTAATTCATTACGTACATCCTGGTCTTGTAGAATATCAAATGTATTGTACTTAACCTTGCAGCTGTTCAGCATGAACACAACCGCGTTACTAAATTTACATTGAGGGAATGATTTGCTTCCCTTCATGAAGAGAATTATTTTGTTGCTCCCTATTAAGTGCTCTATCTTTTTCACTGTGTCTGATTTTTCTGTGGAATCACATTCACCACTTTGTGTAGCCTCCTTGGAAGAGTCTCCCTTTTGAATATATTTCCTAATGAAAGACGTAACTGTTGAAATATTGCAGTTAGTAAATTTTTTTATGAGCTGGCCATTCTCATACAATTCAAATGCTCCGCTTGCATTACTTCCTTCCATTCGACTAACAACGTACACTTCTAACAAAGGACAATCTTCTACAATGGCTTGACATACATCCATGTGCAACTGGTATTCTTTTTCCTTGCTCGATTTGAGATAGAATAACTTCAGTCCCTGTCCCTCCACACACTTGTCCTTTTCCTCTTCTTTAATGAAATTCATTTTTGCTCACTGTTATTGTTGGATCGTTTTTTTTTTTTTTTTTTTTTTTTTTTTTTTTGTGTTTACTTGGGGACAAAAAAAAAGGGTAACACAAGTCGTCCTTTTATGGGGGGCCCAAATGTGAAGGTATTTTTGATCTTCAAAAAAGGGGGGAAGAAAATATACCCTCTGTTTTGTATTTTTTTTTTTTTTACTTCTCAAATTTGAAAAATTGCAAAGTGGTCAAATTAGCAGCGGCGCGGGAAACAACGGAAAGTTTCTCTCAAAATGGATGGATCTTCTGATGGGAGGGCGATGAATAAAAAAAAAAAAAAAAAAAGGAGAATAGTAGAGGGAGATTTTTTTTTTTTTTATATGCTCAAACGTGGGTATTATTTTTATAATTTTTTTTTTTTTTTTTTTTTTTTTTTTTTTTTGCCTGAAGAGGAGACTCCGTTAGTATGCAAACTTTTCAATTGCTAAGTGTACGTAGAGAAAGGTTTTGCCACGCATATATGTAACAAGGGGCGCTTTTCTTTAGGGGTGGACCACAGTACATGTCACTTCTGCGTGACATCCCGGCGAGGTATGTCCATCCCAAAAAGGGGTAGGCAGGGGCGCATAGAAAGAAGCGCCAGGAACGCTGCAGTACTACGTCATGTGTATACTTTTATGTACCTAAATCGACGTGGTGGGTAAGGGGCAGCTTGTCCTTCTCTTTCTTCGGGGGGAAGTTTCCCCACTACAAAAACAAGGGTTCGTAGCGGGTGTTGTTCAGGTGCATGACAACACATTCGGGTTAGATCGACACACGGGCGTCAAGCGTATCAATACCATCCGGTTCGCCTCCTCACATGTCACCATTATGTGTATTGGGGGAGGAAGGTTTTTGTCCTACGAGGGGCCCTCTCTACCCCCCTCATGTGAAACCAAAGGGGGAGGGCAACCCATGTGTCATAGCAACGCTGCCACAACTTGGTGAAGGAAAACAAAAAGCGACCCCACGTGAGCTAATAAGCCCACCTGCTACAGAAACCAAACGTGAACAAAAGAGTGAAGACCGGACAGAAGCTCATTGACAGATGATTGCACCACCCCACACACCTCCACATGGGAGTCAGCCCCACATTAATGCTTCTTAAAAAAAAAAAAAAAAAAAAAAGTGCACACAGATTAACGCTCTTTTCGGTCAGACAGGAAAAAAGGGTTCGGCTGCATATTTTTTTGGACCCCCATTTTGTGCAGCACCATGCTATAAATGCAAAACGGTGGAACAATTTTTGTGGCTCATCCTGTTTTCACCCATGTGCTCTTTGCGAGACGTATAACGAAAAAAAAAAAAAAAAAATGAGCAGTTCATTCATCCTTATAGTTTCCTCGCTTGTGCTCCTCCTTGATTTTGCAAAAAGGCTGGATGTGGAATGGAATGCGTGAACCACACACGCAATTTATAATTCACATCCTTTTCTTGTTAACGCGTTGTAGAGGGCACATAGCAACACGCACACACATGGGTAAAGCCCATGGTACATATGATAAGCCAGTACATCTAGACCAAACAAGTGTTTGAAAATGCACGCGATCCACTTCATTTGCAAGCGGCTTGCAGTAGCACATGCTAGCACATGCGTGAGAGGGGGAACAGCCATTCCGATTTTCCTCCTTTCATGTAGTGACTTTTTTAAAATACATCTCTTCCCGTATGCTACATTCCAGTGAAGTTAAAAAAAAAAAAAAAAAAAAAATACCATATGTGAAACGAAAAAAAAAAAAAAAAATTGTAGTGTTAGATCGGTAGCACGTATGCCGCCATCAAGTTTACACGTATTCCTCGTAGGTGTTTCGTGTAGGCACTTGCGCCGCTGTTCAAGCTGCTGTTCAAGCTGCTGTTCGTGCTGCCGTTTGCATACACGTGGCTTTATGCAAGGCATATGCCGCGCATCTATGCCCCCCCTGATGGTACACCGAGGTGGCAAAAAAAAAAAGGTATAAATAAAAAGGGGGAGCCCCGTGGCTGCCGCAAAAATGCAGTTCAAGAGGGGGGAAAGGTCGAAAAATAAAAGGCACGCCAGGCGCAGATCATGAAGTGGCACTGCAGTTTCGCGAATCATTTTTTTTTTTTTTTTTTTTTTTACTCCAACTCTTTGTAAACTGCTAAGCGCAAGCAAATTCACAACGCAAAAAAGAAAAAAAAAGAAAAGAAAAAAGGATAAGTTAACGAACCAAACAGTTAAATTAAAAGAAGGCATAACCTGAGTCATCATCACCGAACCCCTTCCGAAGCCTTTTTTTTTTTTTTTTTAGTGACGGGCGACGCGAGCCTGCAAATGGCAAAAGTGGGTCACGGTAAACCCTGAACAGGAAGAAAAGATTCCCCTCTGTTGGAAACTTCCACGGCAGTTCAAACGGTTAAAAGTGAAGGAGAAAGCAACATTGGGCGAGGCAGCTCTGGGCGAGAAGCAACCGTTGTTTTGAAGCTTCGGCAGGGAAAGCCCAACCTGTGCACATATAGAATCCCTCAAAGATTATGATTCGCACGGAAGCGAAAGAACAACAGTCGCAACCACCCATCTCGCATTTGCAAAGTTTGGGTCTCACCACGCAACCAGGGGGAATGAAAATTTTCTCGCAGACTAGGACAGAGCGAGAAGACGAGGAAGGGAAGTGGTAAAGAGGGAGAAGGAGGTGTTAGAAAGGGAATTTCTAAGTGGAGTTTCCAAACGAAGAATTCACCCCCCTCCCCTTCTACATAAACAGGTAGCGTTAGCGTATTCTGTACGTCCCACCCCACCCCCAACACATACCCCGCACACCACGTTACCGCACGGCTCTTGTCCGCTTCGCTGCACTTCGCTTCGCTCGACGTCGCTCCGCTCCACTTCTCTTCACCCCCTAACGGTTTGCTCCCCAAAATGAGTAAAAATAAAAAGGGGAAGAAGAAGGACGACTTGGATGCGATCCTTGCTGAGTTAGGCTTTGACGATAAGAGGGAAGATGAAGTGAAAGACGAGAAGGAAGTGAAAGGACCAGAGGCCAATGGCGAAGCAGGTGGTGGAGGTACCCCTGCTGGGGCACAGGAAAATGAAGCAACAAAAATGTCCAAGTCAAAAAAGAAAAAGGAAAAGCTAAAGCAGAAAAAGGAGCAAATGAAAAGCAAGGAAAATGAAGAGGAGGGAGAACAAGGAGAGGCAAAGAAGGGAACGGCCGATCAGGCCGCCGATGCAGCCAACGCAAATGAAGACGCTAATGAAGCTGCCAATGACGCGGCCAAAAAAAATAAAAAAAAGAAAAAAAAGGATAAGGAAAAAACCAAGCATCAAAAAGCCACGTCAGGGATGTCTGAAATGGCCAAGGCAGCCGCGGAAAGACTTAGGCTACTAAAAGAATATGAAGAAAAAAAAAGGGAAGAGGAGAAGAGAAAACAAGAAGAGGAAGAAGAACGAATTAGAAAGGAGGAAGAAGAAAAGGAAAAAAAACGACTAGCTAAATTGGAAAAAAAAATGCAATTAAAAAAGGAAGGAAAATTGTTAAGTGCAAAGGCAAAGGAAGAAAAAAAAAAAAAAGAATTATATTTACAAACCTTGAAGGAGTCCGGGGTGTTGGTCGAACCAAAGGAAAAAGCCAAAGCGGAAATTATCAACATAGACCTCAACAAAACGAAGGCTTTCCTAAAGAAGAAGAAGAACAAAACAAATGCTAACGCAAGTGGGAACGCAAATTTGAATAACAACGCGGAGGGAACTGGAGGTGCTACTACACCCCAGGGGAGCAAACTAGTTAACGCACTAGCACAGGACGACGCAGAAACAAAGAAAGTCGACCCTAAAGAAATTGTCGTGGATGACTGGGAAGATTTCCTCAACGTGGATGAAGAGAACAAAAAAGAAAAGCAAACAGCCAATGAACAAAAAAGTAATGAAAAGACCGACAAGGAAAAGAACAAAGCAAAGGAAGCCAAAGGGTCAGATGGAAAAAAAGGAACAAAGGGGGATGCAGTTACCACTAAAAAAGGAAAGAAAAAAACTGAGACTAGTAAAAGCAATAGTAACGAAAAGAATAACAACGCCCAGGATGACTCAGATGATGAGAGCGAGTATAGATCAGCCATTGTGTGTATATTAGGTCATGTGGACACAGGAAAAACAAAATTATTGGACAAGCTCCGACATACAAATGTACAAGATAATGAGGCGGGAGGAATTACGCAACAAATTGGAGCGACATTTTTCCCCAAGGATACCCTAGATAAGGAAATAAAAAAAGTGGATGAAAAAATAAAGTGCATGTCGAAGGGAATTATGATTATTGACACCCCGGGACATGAATCATTTTACAATCTGAGGAAAAGAGGCTCCTCCCTTTGTGACATTGCCATTCTAGTGATTGACTTAATGCATGGGTTAGAGCAACAGACGAAAGAATCCATTCAAATTTTAAAACAAAGAAATTGCCCATTCGTTATTGCATTGAACAAAATTGATAGACTGTACATGTGGAGCAAAAATGACTGGTCTCCATTTAATTACACTTTTAAAAAGCAAAAGGAAAATACACAAGAGGAATTTCAGGATAGGCTACAAAAAATACTTAATGAGCTAGCCGAACAAGGATTAAATTGTCACTTGTACTGGGAAAACCCCAACCCTCGAAAATACGTTTCTATCGTACCAACGAGTGCAATAACGGGGGAAGGAATTGCTGACCTGATTATGATTTTAGTTAAATTGACACAAAACTTTATGCTTAAAAATATTGAATACCACGATAAATTAGAGTGTACTGTTTTGGAAGTAAAAAATATTGAAGGGCTAGGAACAACCATTGATGTAATTCTCACGAATGGGGTGCTGAAGGAATCTGATACCATCGTCCTGTGTGGTATTAACGGACCCATTGTCACAGTTATTAGAGCTTTGTTAACCCCACAACCGTTAAAAGAGCTAAGAATAAAAAATGAGTATGTGCACCACAAATCGATTAAAGCGTGTATAGGAGTGAAAATTTCTGCTAACGGACTGGAAGAGGTCCTCTGTGGTACTTCCTTATTCGTTGCAAACAACACAAACGAAATTGAAGACTACAAAAAGAAAGCCATGACAGATGTATCGGATGTGTTCAATCATGTTGATAAAACTGGTGTAGGTCTGTACGTCATGGCTAGCACCCTGGGCTCGTTAGAAGCATTACTCATATTTTTAAAAGATTCCAAGATCCCCGTTTTTGCAGTCAATATCGGAACAGTGCAAAAGAAAGACGTGAAGAAAGCCAGCGTCATGAGGGAAAAGGGAAAGCCTGAGTATTCAGTCATCCTAGCCTTTGATGTTAAAATTGATCCTGAAGCAGAAAAGGAAGCACAAATTTTGGGAGTAGAAATTATGCAGAAGGATATTATATATCATTTGTTTGATGCGTTTACAAGTTATATTAAAAAAATTGAAGAAGAAAAAAAACAGAGTAAGCTAACTGATGCCATTTTCCCATGCGAACTCTCCATTGTCAACGATTGTGTATTTAATAAAAAGGATCCCATCGTTATTGGAGTTAAGGTTGATTGTGGAATTTTGAAAATTGGGACCCCACTTTACATCCCTGAGAAAAGCCTTAAAATAGGAAATGTTGTTAGCATCCTCTTGAACAAAAAAACATGTGAAAAGGCCAAAAAGGGGGATGAAGTTTCTATTAAAATTTGTGGAGAACCACACATCACTTTTGGAAGACACTTTGATTTTAACCAAAAGATTTACAGCAAGATTACTAGGGAAAGCATTGACGTCTTGAAGGAGTACTTTAGGAGTGAGTTAACTATGGAGGACTGGAGACTCGTCGTGCAGCTCAAGAAAATTTTTAACATTATCTGACCCCCACAACGCGCGCCGGCGCAGCATCCACGTCCACCACGGTGTACCTCTTTTAATGGGTCACGCAGGTCGAGTGGTCGTTTCGAGGTGATCTCTTCGAGGCGGTCTCTTCGAGCTGATCTATTCTCGTTTCTCACCCCATAAATTGGCCACGTGCTTCCGCCTATTTGTGCGTAGGTACGTGTGCCCATACATATTATCAAACACGTGTGCACGCCTTGTGTTTTTCCGCCGTGTGCAAACGGCCTTTCTCTTGTTTCAGCGCACCGCTGCACGCGCAACTCCCTTCCCTCCCTTTTTATCATCTCCAAAAAAAAAAAAAGGCCTATTTGAAACGTTTACCATTTATATGCTGTATTCATTCGCGTGCGTACCTACGTGCGCCGCTGCATGGTTGTGTCATTGTATCATTGTAAAAACGACAACAGTTAACATTTGAAATTTTTTAATTCACATTTTTAATCGACATTTTTAATGAAAGAAAATGTGGGTCGCCCTTTGAGGTAATGGCATGCCCGCGTGCACATTCAGCCCTTTGGAGGATTCCCTCGAAAAATTCACAAACGGGATGGTCGACCCTTCGAAAATTTCTCAACAGGGGAATATCACACACCGAACGTTGCAGTGGTTTAGCGGTACTCGATTAATTGTATTTACCGACTTGCTTTTTTTTTTTTTTTTTTAAATGAGGAATGTTAGAAGCACCCCCTCTGTTGGCATTCCTCACAAGGTTCTCCGTCCTGTCTGTTTGCCCGTTTGTCTGTTTTTTTTTTTTTTTGTTCCTTTTTTGCCTGAACAGGTCAGGTAAAACAGTTCAAATGGTAAATGCGGGATAAAAAAAAAAAAAAAAACAGGTAAATGGACAGCCAAATGGGCAGGCAAATAGATGAATTGTGTACCAAAAGGAGACCTAGCGAAAAGTTTCTACAAAATGGTCAGGACGTTAAAAACGAGTGAGGCTGCTCTAATGAGCTTCACTCTTCCAACACGTCGTTGCGTAAAAACGGTAACGTACTCTCGCAGGTTTAAAAGGAAAGGGTGCCCCAACACTGTGGCAGCAATTTTTTTTTTTTTGCAGAAAAAAATAATCGATTCCCCCTCGCGTGATACATATTCCCATGTTATTTTGCTGCGATGTCGGCTCAGGCAGTCCAGCTAGCTCTCTCTCTCTCCACACAAAGCGATGAAGCGGTCGTTATTGTGGCTGTGCGCGAGGTGTCCACCTCCACAATCGCGTACTCATAAGGGTGGACACCAATTGGGAGCACCATAATGGCGAATCCCGTAGCCCAGTGCACAAATTTAAGAGTACCCCCACTTAAGCTAAAACGGTTAACTCGTATGTAAAGAACATTTCCCTCCCGTGCGTGCACACATGTCCGCAAAAAGAAAGGTTCCCATTTTGAAGGACCGCCTGATTTGACTACCCAACGTGACTGCCACATGGACACCCCCCACACGTGGTACTTAACCTCCGCTCGCAAATCCCAAAACTAAGCGACATTTTTTCCTTCACCACGCAGTCATTAACACGTACAGAAAAAAACTACACAGAAAGAAATTCAGCTAAACTTGAACTTTGGCCAAAATGGATATTACGGATGTGGACTTCTTCACTCATGTGAGTGGTCTTCGGAGTGGGGGGGTCCTAGACATATATTCCAAGGGGTACGAAAAAAAAAAAAAAATGCAGAATATATACGAATAAAACGGCACGTGATGCGAAGCAATGGAGAAACGTAACACAAAATGGCGACGTACTGGGGGGGATCGCCAAACGATCGTGCCGAACCCCACTTGGGGATGCCCCCTTTTTTTTTTTTTTTCAAACCTGTTTGCTACCTCGATGTCTTTCCCCCTTAGATGGTTTGAGTGTCACAAGAGCCTAGTCTCAATCAACCTCTACCTCCACTGCAACAGTGACATGATGGACACCATCGGGGACGAACGGGTGGACGCCCTCGTGGGGCAGGTACATGCAATAACCATCTAAGCAGATAAGCATCTTTTTCTCCAATGCAGTGATGAATACTGCTATGCACACATATGTATAATTTACCTCCCACGTGGGAAGGACTCCATCCTTCTGCACATTTCACCTCCCCCCTTGCAAAGTTTGAAACACTGCTTAGGGAATTAATCACCACCTACTTTGTTCGATTTCTCCACTCGGAAGAACTAACAAAATGTAGTAAAGACAAATTATTGCCACAGAAAGTTGGGGAAAGCGAACTGCACAGTGCCAGCGGAGGTGTAAAAAACGGGGATGACGCAACTGCGCAGAATCGCATCTCCAGTTACATATCGGTATGGCTCCTACACCCTCTCCTACATACGTTCGCAAAGAGGAGAACGTCTCCCCGTGTAACTACCGCTTCCGCACTGAAGCAAGGCCCTTTTTTTTTTCCACTTAACCCACTGTATCGCCCCCCCCCCTCAGCTGTACCACGAAGTGACATTACTAAACATCTTCGAGAGGATTCTATGCACAGATCACGCATATGACAAGATAGACAGCCAAATGATAAACCTCTTTGCGTACATTTACTCCAATTTGGTGTCCTTCCTCAAGAGGTAGGAGATGCTCGAAGCGGTCGCTCGTCAGTGTTGATCGGACGGTCGCGGAACAGATATCTCAACGCATGTTTAAAATTTTTTTTTTTTCCCCCCCGTTTAGCAATTCGGAGGAGTACTTTGTCAAGCCCATAAGCGAGATGTCCATAGACGAGGTCACCAGGAGAGGGGACACAAATGGCGCGTCATTTGTTGTAACCCCCCCTGCACATCACAATATATGAGCTGCCTCACTTCCCCTTCTGCAGATGCTGAGGGAAGAAAACGACAAGTCACAAAGCATAGACCGGCTGAAAATTTACATCAGCGTTATCAACGCCCTGAGGAATATAACGGACAGAATTCATTTGCTAAACAACACAGTCATCAACAAGATCGTGGACTACGGTTAGGGAACGGGGGGGAAGGCATTCTCATTAGCTGCTTCCTAAGCAACCTTTTTCCTCACCATTTTGTGCTGAAGTGGGGTACAATACAGGTGCCCTTTTCCCCACCCCTCAGACATTTTGCTAATTCTAATTCCCCTCCTGGAGAAGAGACCGTGGGCATACGACAACTACGTGTTTGAAGGGAATGAGTAATGTGATACCCAGCGCCGATCTACTTAAGCGCACTGATGAGAGTATACACGTGCATATGCACATGCGTGGGTGCATAATGGATATCCCCACACACCGTATACGTTCACACGTACAATACATATACATGCAGGTGGGTTAAACGGGAAGGCAGCACCTTATGTACGATTGAGAAACAGGTACAGGCAATGAAAAAGAACAAGTGCGGATAGTGAAGTGTACTCTTTTTTCTTCTTCTTTTTTTTTTCCACCTTCATATGGAGGAAAATATATCCTCTTCACTGAACTGCACACGGCGTCTACTCCCCCTCCCCCCCCCCGCAGCTGTGGCTGATACTTTACTCCCTGATATTGACAAGAAACTGCCAAGAAAAGTAAAAAAAAAAAAAATTAAAAAAATCACTCTGAGGGGAGAAGCTACACACTGGATTAAAGATTATACAAAATCACGTATGTCTACATGAATTGTCTCTTCCCTTCTTTTCACTCCTGATAGGTACGAAATGACCAACTATAGGAGGAACAACATTTTGAAGGTACACATGGGGGTGGGTGTGCATCGTTGGGGTAATCAGCCTTTGCTCCACCGCGCCCATCCTACCGCTTCTCTCCCCACCCTTCAGCTCCGGAAGTACATGAACGACACCTTGCACGAGCAGCTGCCCCCCATGAAGACCCTGCACACCTTCATCGAGGTAAAGCGCGAAGCACAGCAACGGGAGGGAGGCAGACAAATAGGCTAACGAACGAACTGACTGCGAGACCATCCCCTTCTCACCAACTGCAGCACCTGTACATCTCCAAGAGCATCTTCCCGGAGAACAAGAACTCCTACCTGATCATAGACATGGTGAGTCAACCCCGCAAAAAAAAAAAAAAAAAAAAAAAAAAGGCGAAATAAAAAATGGCGAATTATGCTCAACAGAAGAATAAAGGTTGCCCCTTCATCGCCGCTGCCCTTTTCACTCTGAACAGGTGCCGGAAATCTTTGAGGAAATCAAAGAAGACGTGCTGAAGAACAAAAGGAAATTAGAGTCCCTGCTGAGTACCGTCACCATCGAGAGGGACCTTCTGGGCAGCATATCCGACATGTACCTCTCGGTGTATGAATTTGACCAGCAGGCTGGGAAGGGCGCAAAGAAGGGTAACATTCTAAAGGAAGCAAACGACGCAAACAGAGAGGGCAGTAACGCCCAGCAGATGAGCCGAAAAATGTGTTCCAGCAGGACAATACTACCCCCTCGCTTTCACTTCCAAACCCAATTTCAGACACCCAGGGCGGTCCCCAATCGAGTGACAAAAAGGGCGCCGACTACAAAGGGGGAGAAGCATCAGCCGAGGGTGAAGAAAAGGAAGAGTCTTTCCTCTGTGATAGCTGCAAAGAGATTGTAATTAAACAAAAAAGAGGGAAAAAAAAAAAAAATGTCTAGCTGGAAAAAGGGCCCCCTATATCATCCTTTTCTCCATTTTCCCTCTTCAATTTTGTGTCCCCTTTTTTTTCCCCCCCACCCCCTTCCAGGCCGAACTACAATGCTCGCAGTGCAAACGGGCGTACTACTGCTCGAAGGAATGCCAGGTGTGTTTGGTACAACATGAGAAAGGGAAAATTTGTGCACAAAAAAATAACACACAAATGTTTCGTCCCCGTCGTATATCTCTCCCCATTTGTTCTCCCCTACCTGTGCCGCGACGCAGATGAAGGATTGGTTTCACCACAGAGAGGTCTGCTCATACGTGACATAACATCAGCCTCCAATTATACAAAAAAAAAAAAAAAAACAAGAGGTGGCGCAGAGGCATACACGGAGTTGGTTCTTACATGAACAGTTGAAGACCAGACAATAGCAAATATGAAGAAAGGGACACGTGTCAATGTTGGTGAAGGGAAGAACGTTGCTTGTGCGCGTAGCCACTACGTCCAACTACGCATCCCAGGAATCAAAAAAGGGGAGGCCACAAAAATGTGCGTGTGTGCCAAACGCCTCGTAGAAGCGATTAACTCGTCACACAACTATTTGCTCAAAAAAAAGGAATGCTGTACAAAAAAAAAAAAAAGAAAAAAAACAAAAAAAAAAAAAAAAAACTTTGCGTGATGACATTTTCGCACTCGCTGGTGGGACGCTATTCAAACAACTTCACCCTGCGCGTTGAGGCAGCTGACAATATTGGTTCTGCAGATGGGACATGCTTGGCTTTTGTACAGCCACTTGGTAAGACATCCCACGTGGAAGAAGTGCCGCTTGTCGCAGGGCATCATCATGACATCATCGCTGCGCACATAGTTCATCATGCATATGGAACAGATCTCTTCATCGTCCCCGCAACCGTCCCCGTAACCTTCCACGTGATCGTTGTCCCCCCCGTGATGCGAACTGTCTAGCCCATTGGACGGTTCCTCCGAGCCAGGGAAAGGCACTTCCCCCGGGGTCTCTCCCCTATTAACAAAAAGGTCATAATGGTCATTTGACTCATTACTTCCCTTAAGAGGATTTAGCACTTCCCCCACTTGATCATCACCATGGAGGGATGCATTTGTTACACCCAAACCATCTCTGAGTTTTTTTTTTTTTTTTTCCTTTTCCTCTCTATTGTCTTTCCTCTGCATGACCCTCTTGACCTTATGAAAAATAACTTCAAAGGATGGTTTTTTTAATTTTTTTTTTTTTTTTTTTTTTTTTCTCTTCATTTTGCCCATTACGCACAAAGTCTATATCGCTATACTTCAAGACAGTCAATTTACTTATAATATTTTCTGGTGTCGGAATTCGATCATTTTCATCAACAGACAAATTTACAATGACACAAATAATTATGGACAGGAATAACCCTAGGCAAATATAAAACAGCAGGGGTACAAAGTACAACGTGATGGTAACATAATAATATATTTTTATAAACTTCAAAGCTACTGTGCTAAAGGAACATTTGTTTTTATAAAAATGGAGTAGGTGAAGACATGACAACACCAACAGCAAAGTTAAGGAGTTAAATATTTTAATTAAATATATCACCAGACTTTTCAGCCCTTCATTATTTTCTATTGCTTCTCTTTTCTTTATCCTCACAATTGTTAAATGGACGTGACAGATGGTTTTAACCCATATAGCTATCGCCAACACACGGTTGTAATAATCACACTCCTCACAGGGGGTTAAAAAGAAGTATAAGCCCATGCTCACCAGTCCTAGGATGCTCCCTAGCAGCACCAGGTGCAGCACCGTCGTCAGGTACCTGTACATTGTCGTTTCGGGGGGACACATTTCGATGTAATTCCCTGCGGAGAAATAAAAAAAAAAAAAAATGTGCAGCGAAATAAACATGCGAGTGTGTTACCATTTGGGAGGGGCACGTGTTGCGGGCACTCATCCTGGGCTTCCTTCAACAGAGGAGACCAAGCTGGTCTTTTTCTCACCGCTGCCACTCGTGTTATCCACGTCTTCATTCATTTTTCCTGCACAGTGTAGAGTTTTTATATGGATCAATTTCAGTTTCGTGCGACTGAAGCGGGGTGGTACTGACTGCGGCAGATGTGTTTACACCCGAGCCGTGTTTTTCTCCTTCGAGTTATGACAACTCGTTCTTCCACGTCTTGGTCCGTCCGTCCCCTTGTGCGTCTCTTCCTGTTGTTCCCTTCGGCTTGGCCGATTTGCCCTAAATTCATTTCTGCTCGCCCCAACCCAGCACCATTCCTCGCCACTGCAACAGGCTGTGCGATGGGCGGGGACAGGGGGGGCACTGTCGCGGAGGAGGTCAAGTTAGGGCCGCAATTCAGTGTAAAAGCAGGCGCACAGGCTTGTTACCTTCTGCGAACACGGCCTCCCCCTTTCCAGGCGCTCATGCGAACACATGTACCCACAAGCTTACGCACATATTTACTTGTATTATAACATGCACAATATCCTTCCTCCATGTAAGTCATTTACTTCTCTTCGCGAAATGCATTAAAAGGAGAAGTGACAACGTGTAGGGACTTCTAACAAGTGCCAAGTCGTAACAAGTGACAATGTGGTAAAAAAAAAAAAAAAAAAAAAAAAATGGGCTCGTGTTTGTGGTTTGCGTTTGCTCACTGGTAAACTCGGCATGCTGAAAAAGTGCCCGCGCGGAATGGAAGGGGCGCTACATATAAAAAGGGGGAAATGTCACGGTGTAAAACTTGCGCCGTGTAAGAGGTGCGCTGTGTAAGAGGTGCGCCGTGTAAAAGGGTACGCCGTGTAAAAGATACGCGGTGTAAAAGGGTACGCCGTGTAAAAGATACGCGGTGTAAAA